GGAGGGAGAGAATGCTGTTTTCGTGCAGAATCTGGACGTGGGGTTGTATATTGTTCAAAGAGTTCTCGTTGTTCAAGAAAAATGTGTGAAGGAAGATCTGGAGTTACAGTTACAGTCTTCTCTTTGGCTGCTAGTGGACTACCCATTCTAATGAGGGTAGGGTTTTCAGAAAAATGAACTTCTTTATTTTTGCTATAATGTGCATGGATATGGGGGTCAGAAGGACTGCATTTGAAATCTGATTTCTCACTGAGTTTTTCTTCTTGGTAAAAATGTTCAGCAAGTAATTTTTTATTTTGCCCACCACTATCTTCCAAAATAGTCACAGTTTTATCTGGTGAATGACCAATGATTTTATACAATGAAGGGGACAAGGTTTGCTGTTTTGTATCTCTAGGAGGACTTTGATCTTCCATAAAATGAGAATTCAACAACCCCCAAGATGTTCCAGCACACTGACTACCTTCGGCAACATCAACGTTTAAAACAGAGGAATCCGAAAAGCAGGCAGAATGTTGGTGGGATGCGAAAGTTATGGAGGTAGTAACCTGTTTCATGGGTTCTGGGAGCAGCATTTGTGAAGAATGACAATCGATTTCTTCAGGGAGCACACATTCAGGTTCCTCTAATTCTAACAGCCAAGGATTCATATTTTCATGGAATGACATTTGAAGACCCTTGCTCATTTTGAAGTCATCAGCTGTAAAGTTCTGAAATGGGGAATGACCTGGAAACTGCAAGGAATTCCAAACGTTGAAATTGGAGTTGTTTTGGTCTAGTGATCTGCAAAGGTTGATATGCCTTGTTCTCCATGATGGGCTCTGTTGTCCTCTGATAACTTCTGAGGGCTCAGCAAATCTGAGAGCACAGGGGTCAGTGTCCAGTTGTGGTTGTTCAGCAGTCACTGTACTAAAACATCCTTTTTCATGACTCTCAATTATTATATGACTACAAACAGCTTCTGGCTTACATCCTACTTCCCGTGAACTCTGTAAACTCTAGAAGACATAAACAAGTTCTTACTTGAAGTACTTCAAACAGTTATATAAAAATCAGCTTTATTTAGTCTAATGTTTAACCTGGAAGGTCATGCTGATCTTTTACAATAAAATAGGCGAGCACAATAATAAGACAGTAAACTGTAGAATTGGCTTGTTCCTGGCTCGTTAAACCAGTTAATTTCTTCTAAAAATTTTTCACTGAAATAATGAAAAGTAAAGACTGTTATTGTCCCACAGTATTCTCACCTTACGCATGTTAATAACAGAGATGATCCATTATCCCAAGTTTTTGCTGATCTCAGGTCACCAAGTTAGAGACAGTTTCAGTTACTTTTGCAGCTATTATGACCATATGACTAGGTTTAAGCCAATCAGATATGAGCAAAAGCAGTAAGTACAGCTTCAGCTTCCTGTACTTAAAAGATCAAGTTTCTGACTTCTATCTTCCCCTCCCGAGCACCCTCACAACTACTTTTTTCCCCATTTGTTACTTTTCCTAGTTAAAAATGGTGGTATCTAGAAGAGCCTTGTGAAAATCATTTGTAGGGACAGCTCAACTTCCCAATCAGCCTAGAGAACTTGCCTGACAGGCTCTGACGTACAAGAAAAATAATATTCATAATGTACAATATTATGTTGTACTGTACAAAACCAAAGATAAGTTTTAAAAATCAGAAAAGCCTACCTTATTTGCAACACTGTATTTTAGGGTCTCTGTGACACAAAACATGATCTACATCCTAATATTTTATCATTAAGAGAAACAAGAGGGGCCGGAGCAATAGTACAGCAGGTAGGGCATCTGCCCTGCACGCGGCTGACCCAGGTTCGATCCTCAGCATCCCATATGGTCCCCCAAGAACCGCCAGGAGTGATTCCTGAGTGCAGAGCTAGGAGTAACCCCTGAGCATTGCTAGGTGTGACCCAAAAAGAAAAAAGAGAAAAAAAAATAAATGGTTCTTCCAAGTTATAATTAGTACCATAAATAGAAATTTCGAGTATTCTTTGTTTTACTGATAGTCGTTTGATATCCGAGTATTCTTTGTTTTACTGAAACTTTTAAATATATTCCGTATTCTACATTGGAGTGGGAGTACTGTGGGTAGGGCACCATGATTCTAGAATAGCTTATTGTGTTGAGCAGTGTTGTAACTTAGAAGGTTCCATTTTGCTCAAATTTTGGCATTTTACAGAGAGGTCAGTAGTAAAATGCCACCTAAAATATAATAAAATATCAAATAGGATATCAATGGTAAAGGTAAAGGTAAAGGCCCTCCCGTTGATCGTCGATTTGCTCGAGCGGGCCCAGTAACGTCTCCATTGGAGACTTTGTTGTTACTGTGTCTGGCATATCGAATACTCTCGGTAGCTTGCCGGGCTCTCCGAGAGGGGCGGAGGAATCGAACTCGGGTCGGCCATGTTGGCCGCGTGTAAGGCGAACGCCCTACCCGCTGTGCTATCTCTCCAGCCCAAATTTTATAATTTTATAATTATATAATTATTATATTATATAATTTTATAATTCCTATTATTTATTTGCTTGGATTTAAAAGGGCCAGAGATGTGGTTTTAGTAAAGCTCATGCCTTGCACATGCAAGGTCTGGATTTAATTTCTAGCTCAGAACAGAGCTTCTAAACACTGCCAGATATGGCCCCCACATGGCAGGAAAAAAGTGGATAAGGAACCTGGATAGAAACTTCTCCAAAGAATAGATACAATTGGTCAACATGTACATGAGATAATATTTAACAATAACCTTCAAAAAAACACAAATCAAAAAGGTGTATCTTAGGCTCATAAGTAACCATTATAAAAACAAAATATACCTTAAAAAAGGGGAAGGAAACAGACAAGCTACAACATGAATGAACCTTGATAACCTATGCCTTTTAAATATGCCCACCAGGGGGAAAAAAAAGTAACATTAAAATCCCACTTCTCTAAAGAACCTAAAAAAATCAAATTCATAGAAACTGAAAACAGAGTGATGGTTTCCAGAGGTTCAAGAGGAGAGTAAAAGAAAGCTGTCAATATCAAATTTCAATTTTTAAAGTTTTAGAAAACTGGTTGTAAAACAATAAGAATATAGTTAAAAATACACATTTACATATGATTAATGTGTTAACTTTTGTTATGTAATATTTTACTAGAATTTTAAAAATTAAAAATTTTCTGATGGCCTCAAAATAATACTAAAAATATAAAAACTAAATCTCTTTAATAAATAATAAATCTTTGTCATTTCTTGAATTCTTTACATAAGATACAAAACAATCCTACATAAGCAGTAAGATTTTTAGCAAAATAGCTTGTACCCTAGTTTTTTGCTAAGTTTCAAGAAAGCGAAAATGCATACTCCAAAGGAAAATATTAGAAAATCATAATCTGGTAATATTCAGAACACACAAATAACTACTGCTATAGCTCAGAAGAAACAACTCTTACAAGTGAACAGGCAAATTTTTTAAAGGGCAAGTACATGAAAAGATGCTCAAACTCATCAATCATCAGAGAAATATATGATTTAAAAACTGCTCATCCATTAGATGAGTACTGGATGAGTATTACTGCTCATCCATTAGAATAGCAAAAGTCAATAAGAAAATAAATACTGGAAAGGATGTGAATAAACCGAACTACCTATTAATTATCAGTGGGTATGCAAAATGGTATCGTTACTTTAGAAAACAGATTAGCAGCCCCTTAAAATATAAAATATAAGAGTTAATATATGACCTGGGAATTCCATTCACAGATTCATACCTAGAGAAATAAAAACATGTCCACTCAAAAACTTGTATACTGGAGCAGGTAGGATGCTTGCCTTGCACACGACCAACCTGGGTTCAATCCTGGCATCCCTTCTGGTCCCCCAAGTATTGCCGAGGGTAATTTCTGAGTGCAGAGACAGGAATAACCCTTGAGCATCACTGGGTGTGATCCAAAAAGCAAAAAAAACAAAACCAAAACAAAACGAAAAAAATTTTGCATACTTAAATTCATGTAGCAATATTTATAAGTACCAGAATGGGGAAAAATTTTTGACCAACTAATGAATGGATAAAAATGATACAGCCATACAATGAAATGTTGTCACAATAACATACTGATTCGTCATATTACACAACATGGATTAATCTTGAAGATAATCATGCAAACTTAAAATTTAACGATTCCATCAACAGGAAATTTCCAAGCAGGCAGCCATGTATTAACGGTTGCCTAAGTCTAGGGGAATTGGTGCTGAAAGAAAGAAAGATAAACCTGTTCTAAAATTAGGTCACTATATAAAAATATTGATGAAGGGTATGAGAAGTTAGGTGGAGGTGAATGGTACATCAAAACCTTTCATTCTAAAACGTCACCCTAAACATGTTACTATAATGACCGTAAAAAAAATTTAGACCTTTAAAACACAAGGTTTTATATGAAAAACCAACAGAACTAAAAACTAACAGAACTATGTTACTAAATAATTCTGCAAGTGTTCAAATCACCAAATTATATATGTTCTTTGCTGCAGGGGGATGAGGGCTTGGTCCATACCTAGTGATACTCAGCAATTACTACTGGCTCTGAGTTCAAGGGTTTCTCCTTAAGATCTTGGGTGACCATATGGGGTATCAGAGATCTAACCCTGGGTCAGTCATGTGCAAGGGCAAGCACCCTACCCACTGTACTAGTGTTCTGGCCCTGAAATTATATACTTTAAGTAATCTTAACCATGTAAGTTGTACTGAGATAAAATATTAACAAAAGTACTGCTTAACCCATGTATATTCTTTACTAATTTCCACAGACTACTTTTCAATTAAAATTCTCTCTTCAAATAAGCTTGAGCTCTATCAAGTTTTCTCAGTGCTCAGATTAACAGCATTTGTCAGAGACTGTATATGATAACCCAGAAAATAATTCAACCACATAAGTACGGCATACACATGTGTGCATTACGTAATAAAGAAATAAAATATGGACTACTGTTTCATGCAAAACTTACTTCAAAATCATAATTATGGAATAAAATGCTTTAATATGGGGCCGGGGATGTAGCTCAGAAGTAGAGCACTTGCCTTGTATGTGTGAGGCCCTGGATTCGATCCCCGGCACCGCCAAAAAACACGCACACAAAAAGGAAAAGAAAAAGAAAAAAATTACCACAAAATTACTTGGCAAGAGTAATTTATTAAATTGTTCATAGTTTTACATTTTAGGCTCTCAAAGCTATGTTTTTTTTAAAAAAAAAAGTCAAAGTAATTTCAACTTATCAATAAGTACCCAGTTATTTTCAAATGTTTCTGGTAGAACACATTGTCTACAGTTTTGAGACCAAGTTAAAGTTTGGCATAGCATGCCCTTTAATAACACCTTGAGAATTACCCTGGTGGCCTCCAAGCACCCCAGGACCAAGCACAAACACTACAAGCCCAAGCACCAAACTTCCGTAGTCACATTATTATTAAATATTCTACATGATTTGGTTTTAATTCTGTGCCTGGGCTTTTTTAGAAACCAGAAACTTTGCTATAGCACAAAAACTATTTTACATTCCCATTAGAAATGCAAGTGTTTCAACTTCTCCATACCCTTGCCAAGACTTCTGATTTTCCATTTAAAAATTTAATTGTTCTAGTAGACTTGACATAGTAACTGTTCTTTGTTTTTCCTTTGTATGGCTTCCTGTTAGTCTAATGCCCTTTTATTTTATCTAAATAACTTCGTGTACCTTTTTTAAAACACAATTTGCATGTAAATTCCCTATGCTTACATCTATTTGGTCTTAAATTCTCACACATTTTAAAAGACAATTTTGCCAAATATGGAATTCTGGCATTCTTATTGACAAACAGTCAGCCTCGGTTTGCTCTTTAAACTGGTGTTCTCTTTTGAACACTTATCTCACATGCTAGTCTCTCTTGTTGCTTATTTCCACTTGCAAAAAGGCCATGTTCTCACTTGAGAACTTCCTCTTTTTCTCTCCTTCCATCTCTAAGTAAATTTCAATAAAAGGTTACCTGTTTCACTACGATTTTTTTGTTTTTTTAATTTTTAAAAAGGACAGTCTCTATTGCTGCTTTCAAGGATACCTTTCTGATTTTTGGCAATCTGACCTGAAGGTGTTACCACATGGAATGCTTTCCTGCATAGCTCCTTGATATTTAAGTACATTTTTAAATATTTAAGTACATGATATTTAAGTACATGTTTTAGATCAATTCTGAGAGGTTTTCAATATTTATTTAAAAAACTATTTGTCACTTTCATTTATTTTCCCTTGGGCCTTCTATATTACATATATTGTTAAGTATGGTAGTGTATCAGAGCTCTGGTAATTTTCCTTCATTTTTTTTCTTCCTGATCCCTCAAAGTAGTTATTTCAAGTGACCTATCTTCATGTTAATTGATTCTTCATTTTGCCTCTTTCAATCTGCTGGTTGAAATCTAATACGTTTTTCATTTTGGCAACTTTTCTCTCCAGTTTAAAATATGGATCCTTTTTATAATTTCTATCTCCCTTTTTACACCTCTATTTAATAAGACATTCTTTATTTTCTTTAGTTCTTCAATACATAATTTCCTTTAGTGTACTGAGAATATTTAAGAGCTGATCTAGAATCTTTTCTAGTAAGTGTAACTCCAAGGCTTCTTTGCATACCTTTGTTATTTCTTTTTTCAAATACTTTTTTCAGGGGGAACTGTTTTGGGGATCACACCCAGTGATGCTCTGAGGTTATGCCTGGCTCTGCACTCAGGAATTACACCTGGCAGTGCTTAGGGAACCATAAAGGATGTCATGATTGAACCTGGGTTGGCCACATGCAAGGCAAATGCCCTACCAACTGTGCTAACACTACAGCGCCCTAACTTTGTTATGAAAATGACTATATTCTCAGTAGTTAATGATATGCTGAAAATTAAATATTAAATATGATAGCTTGGTAACTCTTGATAGGATTCCCCTCACTACCTGGAGTTTCTCGATGCCATACTGCAGCCTGTTTCTATTTGAAACATGTCCACTTAACCAGGAAATATAACACTGCTTTAGTGTCACTCCAAGTTATTGCAACACAACATCTTCAAGTTCAGCCAGAGGTGAAACTAGGGTCTTCTTGGCACTTTTATTGGAAATAAATCCAGCTCAGTGCATGCAGATGCCTTCTCAATTTCCTAGCATATACAAACTTTGTGTTACTTTGATTTTTTTTTGAAGCCACACCCAGTGATATACTCAGGCTCTGTGCTGGGTACCACATGATGCCAGAGATCAAACCCAGGCCTCTTGTAAATAAAGCCTAGGCTCAGCCTACTGAGCTATTTCTCTGGCTCTATATAGATTTCAGAAGTTCTGATTCTCTAGTATGTCTCCTCCTTGCTCAACTATTTCATTCCCAAGCTTTCCATGCTGCCTACTGTTTATCCTGATACTTTGTCCCTTTCAATATTTTTGACAAAAACTGATAAGAAATTCCCTAAGTCCTAGGAAACATTTGAATTGGGTAAAACAAAAGTCCCTACATCAGTCCTGCTTGTCAGGGTGCAATATTCATCAATTTTTTTTTTTGTAAATGTGTGTATTGGATGGGGAGCAGGATGATTTCTTCGCAAGCAATGCTCAAAGGGTCATGGGGACAATGATTCTCGGCCAACAAGGCTGGTAGGTAGGTCAATGAAGCCAGGGTTCAAACCAGGACTGCCACAGGCAAGGAAAGTAGCTTCATCCCTGTACTATCCTTTCAACCATAATTACCAATATTTGTATTCATCTGCAGCATCATATACAAAGGTAACTAAAATTAAAAAGAAAACAACCGTATCCTCTGTCACTAGTTACCTAAACCAGAAGTATGTGATGTCGTAGTCAAAACTACTTGAACTGTAGGCATATTTTACATTTCTTAAAATACTATGCCAAGGGTTCAAATTTTTCTTCTCTTTCTCTCCTCCCTCCCTCTCTCTCTCTCTCCCTCTCCCCCCGCCCACCCTGTAAACTAATCGGATGTGTTTTTATTTGCATTTCCCTGATGATTAGTGATAATAAGTGTTGTCTTCATGAAATTTTTGACCAACTATGTATCTTCTTTGGAGAAAGAAGACTAGGCTGAAAATACAAAGTCACGTCATGAAAAAGGAAGATAACTCTAAAAGAGTATTAAAATTTAAAATTAGATTGTTCTCTGCTATCATAGTTTAGGGGGTTCTTATGCATTTTAAATATTAACTCCTTATAAACATAGTCTGAAATATTTTTTCATTGCTAGTTTGCCTTTTTAAAACTCAATGACTATTTTCATAGTTCCATGTGCCACAACATGGATGAATCTTCAGGAAATGCTTATGTATTTTTGCTGAATTATGCTAAATAAAATAAGCCAAGTACAAATACTATATATCTCAACTCACATGAAGTACTTAAAGTGACAGAGACAAAAAGCAGAAGGGTGAGTGCAAGGAGCTAAGAGGAAGGAATGGGGAGCTTGTATTTAATGTTTATAAAATTTCAGTTTTATGAGAAAAGTTCAGATGATAAAAGGTGGGTAATGATTGGGAAACAGAATGCATTAAATCACAAACTAAAAACTAGATAATGTATATTTTATGGGCTGGAGCAATAGCACAGGGGTAAGGCGTTAGCCTTGCAAAGCGGCCAACATGGCCGACCCGAGTTCGATTCCTCCGCCCCTCTCAGAGAGCCCGGCAAGCTACCGAGAGTATCTCGCCCGCATGGCAGAGCCTGGCAAGCTACCTGTGATGTATTCGATATGCCAAACACAGTAACAACAAAGTCTCCAATGGAGACGTTACTGGGCCCACTCGAGCAAATCGATGAACAACAGGAGGACAGTGACAAGTGAATAAAATATATTTTATATATTTTATATATATTTAAGCACAATCAAATTTTTTTTAAATCTTGTTTTTATTTCTTAAAGCAGTTTATGTCAGCAGAATGGTCTTCATATGTCTCCGTTTACTAAGATCTTTTATCTTTCAATAGAAATTTTAATATTCTCCAATACAGTTCTTGTAAATGTAAAAAGTTATTACCTCTCAATAATGTTTTGCTGCTATCACTAAAGATAATCTTAAAGCTCTTTTTATGTGGTATAATTTCCATCTCTATTTTCTTTTTTATCAATAAACCTCTCTCATATGTGGGCTATAAAGAAGCATAGGAAGGGAATAACCAATGACCTAACGCAACATAACCTGTTAACTGACCTACAGAACTGAGCCTATCACAGTGGGGTGAGGTGTCTCAATGGGAGGGGAGAGGAGGGAACAGAGAGATGACTGTGAAGGGAAACAGAAATTGGGGGGGGGTGTAGTGTTTCAATGGTGTATGCATGACACCCTATCATTGTTAAATCATGGTGACTTAAATAAAGAAAAATGGCAAAATCATAAAAGACAAGGAGACAGAAAATAGTTACATACAGAAAGAACTTAGAAACTAACATGATAATGAAATTAAGTATTAAATAAAAACAGATTTTTCACATGAATATTTACAGGGATATTAAAAAATCTTATGTAACAAAGGATAATCCTTCATTGTATGAAACTATCCAGTTTCTATCTCCTATCTACTACAAGTCAAAAGCAGTCCTTAGTTACTTTAACTGCTAAACAGAAATGGGGGGAGTATTCGATATGCCAGACACAGTAACAACAAAGTCTCCAATGGAGACGTTACTGGGCCCGCTCGAGCAAATACATATAAACTTCCAAAATAAACCTCTGGAGGCATTTACTATCCCTTTTAAGGAACCAATGCCCTCAGTGACCATGTATTTTCTCTTAGCTTTTCTACCCAAATTGGCTTTCATACAGTCTTGCAAGTAATAATCATAGGGTTGGTGGATATAGCTCTATTCTGCATGTATAAGGCCCTGGGTTTAATTCCTAACAAAGACAAAAAGAAAAGAAAAAGAAGAAGGGAAAAAAGAGAAAAAGGAAAAGGAAAAAAAGAAAAAGAAAATTAAAAAAATACCTTTCACTTGACATCAATGACTTCATGTGGGCTATTTCTTTCTGCAGTGTTCTTGCTATCGCGAACCAATAGTTTACACTATCAACATCATCTTCTGACATTTAATCTAATATCCCCTTCTCAGATCATTCCATATCTAACTTCTCATTTTCCCCCTAAACACCCAAACAACTAGCCTCTTGAATATTTTACTTATTTGATTCTTTCTGTACCCTTTCATTTGAATGTAGTATCAAGAGGAAATAAAATTGTGTATTTTATGCAATGATATATCTCAGCAATCAGCCCAGTGAATGGCATATATTGGGCAATCAATAATTCGTGAAATAAAAAATGTCTAATCATAGAGAAACTATGTTCACACAATGTTAGATGCCTATATAAAGTTATGCTTTTTGAGGGATACACCTGACTGTGTTTGGCAATTACTCCTGGCTCTGTGCTCTGGACCACTCCTGCTAGTAGTTAGGGGAATCCATGTGGCACTGGATACAGAACCCAGTGAGTGGCATGCAAGGTGAGTTTTCATCCACTGTACTAGCTCTCCAGCTCTAGAGAATTTTTAAGAGTAAATTAAATATTTAAGTTTTAAAAAGTACCCTAAAACTATGCATAGTTGGGGCTAATGTGTGTTTACTAAGGACACATCATAGTAAAGATATGTTTCATTATCATTCAATAATAAAGAAAACCAATTAAAATATTATGCATTGTGCAATGATAGGAAAATGAATTCCTAGTGAAGAAAAATCTTATTTTAAAAGTTTTAGACTTTTCCCATATAAATCCTAATTGGGTAAACATTTTATCCTTAATTTAGACTATAGTTACCAAATACATAGTTTCTAAGAAACTATATAACATTAGGCCATACGGTATAATGAGCTCTATCGATTTTTAGGATTAATAATAATAGTTGCCAATTAAAAGATAATATGTCCCCACTGAACATTTAATAGGTGTTATCTCATACCATAAAACACTATAAGTTAGACATTATTTTTTTGGTAAGGGCTGTGGGGGGAGATGGGCTACATTGTACTGTGCTCAAGACTACTCCTGGTAGTATTCAGAGGATCATTTTGGTGTTGGGGATTGAACGGGAATTGGTTGCATGCAAAGCAAGAGCTCTACACTATCACTCTGGTACCTTATAACTGCTCTTAATAACAGACCAAATGATTTATTCTTTACACAAAGAATGAATAAAGCAGAATAAAATTCAAAATACAGAATCCGTAGAGCAATAAGAATGAATAAATATGCACATCTATATAGAAAAATCTAAGATGATTAAAATTCTTAGAAGACTATAATATTCACTTATTCCCTCTATTACAGAGTTCAGCAACATACACAATAGAAAACCAACACATGAATGAATAGGAACTAAAAGAAGTATGGCTAGGAAGGGGACATACAGAACTTCAGTAGTATTTTCCTGAAGTTTTAGTTATCCAACTTAATGGACAATAAGAACTATTACTCCTCCTTTTTATTCTTTATAAATGTTTCAATGATATTATTTTCTATGCATGGAATAGTTCATAATGCAATGCAATTAAGTACTGTTTTTTTTAAAAGTCACCTACAATGAGGTTGATAACTTTAAAAAAAAAACATGTAATTTCATAAAAAGCAAGCAACCTAGTTGAAAATGAGCAAAAGCTCTGAATGACATTTAAAAATATGCATATAGATATATAGGTAACCCTAGTATAAACATATAAAAAAAATTCAATATCACTTATTTTTAGAGATTAATTCAAAACACAATGAGACATCACCTTTGAAGATAAACTACAAAGAATGGAAACAACAAATGCTGGTGAGGATATAGAATAAAAGAAACCTAATACATGGTAGAAATGTAAGTTAGTGCAACATTTATAGTAAATGGTATGGAGAGTCCTTAAGAATATAAAAATTAAAATATATATACATATATGTATATATAAAAGTAGATATACTATATGACCTAGCAATACTTCTCAGCATTTATCTAAAGATATGAAAAACGTTAATTTGGAAGTTTATATCTAACATTCACATAGGCATTAATTATAATGACCAAAACATGGAATAAACTAAAAAGCTCTTCAATAGATGACTAGATAAAGTAACTGTAGTACACTCAGTGAAATACTACTGTCACTAAAAACAAAAAGATTTATCACCACTTATGAGGGAAGCAAATCAAAACCACAAGAAACATTTGTGACAACATGGGTGATAAACAAGGGGTCATTTTTGTGGTAAGATCGTGCTGGAACATTGACGGTGCAGACGGTAAATTTTATACACAGAGGTGCTTAGCTGTATTCCTGAAATTAGTTTAGAAACTAACAAAAATCACTGAAAGAGGGATGTCATCTATATAGACATGATTATAACTATTATAGCTGCTAATTTTTAATGGAGGGCTAAGGGGCCATTTTGGGTATTCAACTAGTGTAGTGTTCAATGCAATGTGATGCTGCTTGGACTATGAGTGTGTATCCTCCAACTGCATGTTCTTAAGCAGAGAATATATAGCAAAAATGTATATTCTGGACTTCACTTGCATCTTAAGGTATTATCCTCAAGAGAAAAGAAAAATTAACTAGCACCCTATAAACAAATCTACTTTTATTTCCTTAGAGAATAAGTTTTCCAATTGACTGTTTATGAATTACAAAAATCTCTATTCCCTGGGTTGGAGAGATAGTACAGCTGTAAAACACTTGCCGTGCACACAGCTAACCTGGGTTCAAACCCTGGCATTCCATATGGTCCCTCAAGTACCGCCAGGAGTGATTCCTGAGTGCAGAGCCCCTTGAACATTAACGGGTGTGGCAAAAAAAAGTCTCTAATCCTTAAATATTTATCTTTGAAGAATTAAGACTCCTAACACCAATCAAAAGCTAGCAAAAACCAACTGGAATCATCAATGCCTTTATAAGAATTCCAAATTCTATCACTTTATCTTTCACATTCTTCTAATTTTTAGATTTCTTTTATACCTTGGACAAGTCAGCTGTTCTCCCATGAATAAAGAACTTCTCTTTAATTTCTTCTACTTTTTTTCTGTCATCTTCATTTAATTCTGAAATGGAGTAGCCACACTCATACTCACGAGCCAAATTAAACTTCAAATTCCAGGCTGGAGAAAAAGCAAAGACACATTTGTGATTAATATAGTACAAGGGTAGTATTTGTTAATAATTCTAAGAACATGAATCTATGTGTGTATAATTTAATGCCTACCACAATTTTAGCACATGCGTTCTCAGTTACAAGAAGATCGTCTTGAAGGTTCATTTCATGAAAATGACTAATTTTAAGAAGAGGGTGATAGTTCACACTGGGTGTAGCCCTGGTGTGGTGGCCCCAGCACCACAGTGCTTGAGCAACCCCACACTGATGGGCCTGAGCATGCAACTGTTAGGCTCACATCACCACACCAGCAGGCTGAGCACTGAGAGTAGTGGGTCACTTTCACCCCCCAAGTCTCCTGGGTAACAACGTCCAAATGACTTTTTAAAAGCCCTTACCTAAATATTTCTCAAAAAAGTCTCTTTAAATTTGGTGTTGAATCTTTTTTGAGGAGGGAGGGCTAAGCCACACCCAGCAGCGCTCAGGGTTTACTTCTGGCTCTGTGCTCAGGGATCAGTCCTGACAGTGCTGGGGGGGGGGGGGGTGGAGGGGGGGGTGCTCCATCTGCAGAGCCAAACTAGGATTAGTTGCACACAAAGCAACCTTAATTAACCCCAGTACTGCCTTACCAACCCCAGGTGTTCCATATTTTTATCTTAATCTTCCTTTCAACTAATACAATCCCATTGTCATCCCTCAGCTTTTGTTCAGTTACTGTTACAATAGAGCTGAGGTTTTAAAATACTTGGGAGGTTTTTTGAGAATCAAAATATACATGCTGTGTAGGTGGAATGATGCTGATAGTTCATTTGAAGGGAAAAGATCCAAGTTAGGCCTCAACTGCCATTAAATTGCTCACCAAAATTTGTATCCTATATAGTTAAAGTATTTTTTAAATATAACTCAATTAGGAATAAAAGAAATATAAATACTTCTAAGTTTTCAGACATTCCACTATGAAATCACCATGTCCCAATTTGGAGTGTGTAATCCCTTTAACACTATGGGTTTCCCTCTTCTCTCTCATATTTTCCAAAAAAAAAACTATTGTACATCAAAAAAAAGAAGCTAAGTTTTAGAATAAAATACAGTGGTTAGTTTTTTCCTAATATCTGTAATCAACTCCAAGACTTCCACTTAAAAGGGGATGAGAAAGAGCACATTTATTTTTTTAAGAAATCATGAGACAAACAAAACAAAGCAAACTGGGTTTTTCATTATCTTTTTTTGTTTGTTCAAGGCAAATGCCTTAACCCTTGGACTACCTAGCCCAAGCTTCAAAATATGGATAATGTAATGAAAAAGAGTTAGGAAAATATGAGAAGTTTGGGAATCAGGTTGCTTGTTTGTGGGTCACACTCCAAGGTGCTGAAGACTTATTCAGGCTCTGTGCTCAGGCATCACTTCTGGCAAGCTCGGGGTGGCAGGGATCTAACCCAAGCCACTGTGAACACAGCAAGCACCCTGCCCACTATACTATCCCTCCGGCCCAAGAGGTTTAGAAGTTAAAAAACCCAAGCTATCTCTATACTCTCAGTCATCAAGATCTACATTTCCTTAGAACCTAAATTCAAACTAGCTCTAGTCACACACTGACTTGGTAACCTTCCTGGTAAAATGGCTTGTTTTTGACTGCTGAGTTTTAAAATTTAATTATCTAACAGATTTAAGGGAATACAAATTTAGAAGTCCAACTACTTCAAATGACATATCAAACTATGTTAAATTACAATATTTACAAGCTTGTACCTGCCTCTGTAACCATCATCATTCCTACCTCGTGCTCTTACTCGGCATTCTTCTTTCTCTGCTTTTCTTAGTATTTGCTTAGCATGATTCAGTGAGGACTCACATTTCAGAAGGCTTTTCACACGTGCAGCCAACGAATCTACACTGCTACCACCACCATCATCACTCTCTGACAAACCCTCTTCCTCTCTGCTATCTGTCATACTTGTCTTAGAAGCACATGGAAAGAAATTCAGAAAAACATCAGAAACTGACTCCAACGAATTACTGTCCCACGAGCAGGAACTTACATCACTACTGGAATCATTTTTTAAGATAGTCACCACAGGGATAACAATTTGACTCCCAAAGGTTCTACTACATATGTCAGGATCAGATCTCCTAACAGATCTGGCTGATTTATAACGCCTAAGGGTTTCATCAAAAGTCATTCTCGCTTTGCTTTCTGCTTCTTGTCGTGGACTCCTAACTGTAGCTGAACTAATAAGCTCCCAATTTTCAATGCCTCTCTGGCATTTGTGACTTGTCTGTGTGCTAATATCCTTCTGTATGTTCTTGCTGCGTGGGCTTTCCTCTCTGAATGGCTGTCTCTGAGGCACATCGTCAATATATTCATCAGCTGAGGGAGGTTCTTTGAAACTAACAACCTTCTTAGCTTGTATGATTGATATATCACTAACATCTCTGAAAGGAACGAGGGGAGAAAGAAAATGACATCGTTTCAGTGCGATATTTTCTGCCTCCATTAAAAGAGTTCGAATCTCTTTAAGAGTTCTGGAATCACCATTCAAATCCTGGATTTCATCAGAGCCAACACCTTCAAAATCTGAAGTTTCTGGCTTACTTAATACAATTCTATCATCAGCCTGAGAACTTAAGGGTATATTGCTTGAAACACTAGAATTAGAAGAATCCAAATTATCTATTAGTTTCTGGACATGGTCTGAAACAAGTTTGTGCTTCTCACTATGTGAATAAATACCACGTGGAACTGCCAATAACCCAGTAACCCGATCAGCTTGCCCAGTATCGCCTGAGAACTTTATGGTGTCTTCAATTAGATGTTTGCCTGGCAGTTTTGGGGAACAGAAAATATCTGGTATGTCTCTATGCATCCCTGAATTTACTTCAGTTGTTCCAGGAACAATTAAAATCTTTGCGGTATCTCCACTTTGCTTATCTGGTAATTGCTGTTGAAATGAAACACTGGGCTTTACTCTGTAAGACTTAGGAACGACTTCTGAGGAATGCTTCTGGTCATCTGCTTCAATCACAGTTAAATTTTTGGGCTCTTCTCTATGAAAATAGGAACCAGAGGGAGTTGTGCAGAACTCAGTCTTGTGGTCATCCGGTAAAAACAGAGTTGAAATCTTGACTTTATCTTTATGTAAGTAAGAACTAGGAGGTTCTGTAGGTATCTCAGTCTTTTGGTCAGCTCGTCCAGGAAGAGTAACTTTTGAAGATTGTTCAGTAAGAGCTGGTAATTCCTGTGTGTAAAAATGACCAGTCTTCTTTCTATGTGAATAGGAACGAGAGGGGATTGTTTGTTTCCCAGTCTTCTGGTCAGCTGGTCCAGGAAGATTAACTTTTGAAGACTGTTCAGTAAGAGCTGGCAATTCCGGTGCGTCAAAATGACCAGTCTTCTTTCTGTATGAATAGGAACGAGAGGGGATTGTTTGTTTCCCGGTCTCCTGGTCAGCTAGTCCAGGAACAGCTGAAACTTTTAAATTATTGTCAGTAATATCTGCCAAGTCACCGTAAGTAAAGACAGGGACTCCTTTAAGTAGCTTGGAAGTAAAGGGCACAACACGTTCACCAGTCTTCTGGTCAGGTGCTCCAGAAAGTTCAAAGAGTTTTAAAGTATCTTCATTAGATTCTGGCAACTCTTGCTGGTAAGAGACAATGGGTTCCTTGTTATGTGGGTACGAAGTTGGAGTCCCTAGTATCCCCGTCCTAGAATTAGAAGAAGTAGAAGTAGTAGGAGTTCCTGATACTCCAGTCCTCTGGTCAGCTGGTCGAGAACCCTCTAAAATTTGTAAAGCCTTTGCAGTAAGATCTGGAAACTTTTGCTGGTAAGAACTAATTGGCTTTTCTATGTGTGAATATAAACTAGATGGTAATGTAGGTATCACAATCTTCTGGTCTACAGGTCCAGGAACACCTGAAGCTTTCGGAGACGTTTCACTTTGTCGACTACCTAGCAACTCTGGTTGATAAGAAATAGACTTCTCTCCTTGTGCATAAAGAGGAGAGATTTCTTCTGGTATCCTGGTCTTTTGCCGATCACTCCTTTCAGGAGTAGCTGAAACTTTCTGAGTCTCCTCAATAAGGTGTGTATCTGGTATGCCTGGATGGTGAAAAACACGGGGCTCCTCGCTCTGTGAGTAGGAGGGCAAGGGAACTCTTGAAATCCCAGGCTGCTGGTCAGCTGGGCCAGTAGCTGAAAATTTCAGAACCTCTTCGTTAAGATGCCGATCTGGTGAACCCGGTTGATGAAAAACGATGGGCTTTTCTTGCTGTGAGTACAAAGGAGATGTCCCAGGCTTCTGATCAGCTGGGCCAGAAGTTGAATCTGAGACAGTCTCTTCAGTGGGAAATCCGTAAACTAAACCCTGTTGGCGGTAAACAACAGGACTCTCTCTCTGTGAGTAGGAAGAAAAGGGTACTCTCGATATCCCACCCTCTTTATCAGATGACAGAGAAGCCCCCAAAATTTGAAGGGCCTCTTCAGTAAGATCTGGTGACTTTGGCTGGTAAGAACCGATTAGCTTCTTTATGTGTGAAGAGGAACTAGATGGTACAGTAGATTTCTCAAACTTCTGATCTGTTGGTCTCACACCTGAAACTTTTGGACTTTCATCAGTTTGAAGTCTACCTGGCAACTGCTGTTGGTAAGAAATAATGGGCTTCTCTCTAGATAAGGAAGAAGAGGATACTGGTGATTTCCTCCTTTGCAGGTCAGCTGATCCAGGAGTAGATGACACTTTTTGAATTGGCTCAGTTAAATGACTGCCTGGCAACACTTGCTGATAAGAAATGGGCTTCTCTCTATGAGCATAAGAACTAGATTTAAATGGCAAACTAGTCTTCTGATCACTGGGTTCCAGAGCACTGAAAATTTTTAGAGCTTCCTCAGGTGAATGACTGTCTTCTATACCCTGCTGGTAGAAAATAATTGACTTCTCTCTATGAGGGTAGATACTAGAAGGTTCTGATGGCAATCCAGTCTTCTGGTCCACAGGTTGAGAAACAGTCAAA